CACTGTGTTACCGATCAGAAGCAATATCTTTCAGTATAACTTCAGCGTTCTTATGTATTTACAGAAAAACATTCTTTGCAATCTTAGAAAGAGTTTACTAGTTTAAGCTTTATGCCACTTCTAGGAACCGTTGCAACGCTCTTTGTCTCACGATATTTTTCAATTGATATAAAATGTCCTTGAAAACTGCTTAGCTGCTGTTCCAAAACTCTTTCCTGAATTGTAATTTGTTGTTTGAAATCCACAAACAATTATTTCACTTTTGCCATGTTGCTGTTGATAGCCAGCTTCAAGTGGACAATAAGCACGTTCATTAAATTAAACGTAAGTTGTTTGGGCGTTTCGACGTGGTGTAATTGCTAGTAAGCTTTTCTTGTTAAGTCGATTACGACTCAGCATTGAGCTCGATCCTCATTGGGTGCCGTATACTTTCGTTCTTATGCCACATCTAAGCTACGCATAAGTTCTTTAAAGGTATTTTCAACCCACAGATGCAGCCTGATAGACTACCCTGTCAAAACATGATATAATCATACTTATTATAAAACCCAGGTTGTGTGTGTGTGTCTGTACGTTTATATATTGGATCGGATTTCCTACATTTTTCAACCGATTTCAACAAAACTTCACAGGACTACGTAAAATTACCTTGCAGTGGTTCTGACAGCGCCAAAAATTGGAAAAACACAATTGTTTTAGGACGAAATCAATTATAAGAGGCATCGCTTTCGCGGAATGAAAGGGGGACAACTCATATCGAGTTATACTTATTATAAAACCCAGGTTGTTTGTGTGTGTGTGTGTGTGTGTGTGTTCGTTTATATATGGGATCGGATTTCCTACATTTTCAACCGATTTCAACAAAACTTCACTTTTTTTTGGCAGGTAGTGTTTCTTATTGTATTGCACACTTTTTTTATTTTTTTTACATTCAGAATGCTTTAAAAATTCCATTTACAAAACAATTGTTTATAATAAAATTCTATTAAATCGGTAGACTCATAACGATTGAAAACAATGTTTTTGTTTGAGTTTGGGTTTGACCAATTCGTAAAAAAACAAAACAAAAAAAAACTTATTAAGACATGCGTTTCTGACAACCTTAAACAATAATCTCTGTCAATTTTATTTTTCAGTCTTTATGATGGTGGATACTTGATCTATCTCTTACTGTTACATCCCCGGTCAACGCCGGGCTCTACTGTTAGTAATAATATATATTATGAATTTCATAAAGAATTTCTGAATATTTTCCTGAATAATTTCAGCTTTTCTAGTCTTTTAATATCGCATTTATAATGCTAATTTATTGAATACAATTTTTCTGAAATGGTTTATGATTTCTGAAATAGATTGTTCGATGCCTAAGATTATATTCTATATTTTATATACAAAAAAAAAAAATCTTTTTCGATATTTGAAAAATTATCATTTGAAAAGAAATCGTACCGCAAGGATAATTTTTGCGCCTCACTGTACATATAAGTGGCATATATTTATCAAAAGTATGGTATGCATAGCTTATCTTATAAAAATTATTATATACAAAATCTTAAAATATCTTTATTCAATTTAACGTATTAGTTATTTAAATTGTATCAGACAGCACTTTAAGGAGACTCAGTGAATTTATGTCTACAGCAATAAACACTTGAAACTTGTGAGCAGACATTCGCCTTCTAAAATCTGTATTTCCTATATGTAAAATTCAAATTTCAATAACATCTTTCCAAAATAAAATATAACTCTTCCATTTGATGTACGTAAGTATGAGGAAGGAATAAATTCAAGCAGTACGCATAACATCCGGACGTTAGTAGCTGCTGCTGATGATGATAAGGATTCATTGAAAATTAGATTATTACAGCAAAATTACTGATCCTTTTGCTCTTTAGTCAAAAAAATTCGTTTGCACTGTGTCTAAAAAAATAAAATAATATTTTATATTAAGGCTTATATGTTAAATTAATAAAAAAAAAACATATTTCTTTTTATCTAAGACCATAACAACTTTATTTGCTTATCCCGGCATATTTTTTTCAGGACAGTTCACTGGTACATTATCTATCTATCTATCTATCTAAAAAAAATACCCCTGCTCGGCCCGGTGGCTATCAAAGTGTATCTATCTCTGCTTCTTTTAGATGGTTTTATTTTTGGCTGGGCCTACGGGTCTCTGAAAACTAAAAAGGCCTCACATTCAGTTGAATTGCCATCTATCTAAAGTGTTGAAGAATCTGAAAAACTAAATCACAGTTATTGCAGACATTTTAGTGAACTTTGCAACATGTCCCGTACAGGCTCAATGGTGTTTAAATCTGGCGAGTTCTGAACATCAGTCGAGTCTTCCTGGAACGAGCTTCATGTCACCGCGCGCACATTACCTTGCTTAAAGAAGCCATCACCACCTGGAAAGACTGAGCATACAGTGGTGCAAATGGTTTGTATCAAACTCTTTGTATGTTACATTTGCCAAAGACGAACACTAATTTCACTTGTGGTCATTGCGAACTTCAACAGTCTATACTGTGGTTATCAACGCGGGGGACAATGGGATTTTTAAGGTGGGGTGCAATTCGAGAATGAATTATTAACAGTGAATTTTTTCCTAGTGAATATGTGTGAGTATGGGTGTGTGCAAATGCACACGGTGCATATACAGTATGCATACATAAAAATATTTGTGCGTATGTATATACATGTGTAATTACGCCTGTACTATATATATATATATATATATATATATATATATATGTGGACTCTCCCGTCGTATTCAACGTACGAGGGTCAAGCCGCTCAGTTCCTAGGAACCGACAGCCAGACACCAGCACATATGATTTGATTAAAGTGGTGAAGACTTTGTGCAGAACCCACCACACTTTTGAAGGGCCGAATACAGAGATCTGGTGCACTACGTGCCACAAGATCCCCATATATATATATATATATATATATATATATATATATATATATATATATATATATATATTTTTATAATTTCTAAGTAATTTCTACCTCAGTACTACAATTGTCCTTTCATTCTTTTATTTTTCTCTTTCATGGATGCCATGCTAATTGGAATCTTGTTTAGACCAAGTTAATGGCTTTTTGGCTTCCTCTACGTGAATAGGGGTTTATTTTATGAATAATAAGAATTATATGTCGCAGGTGAAGGCATCAAGATTTTAGAGATGCTTAGGTGGGACATGACCAAAAAAATGGTTGATAACTACTGGCCTATAGCATTACAATCACTACCAACTTCCACAACATCCCACTGGCAGATTAGATCCACACACGACCTCAACTTTTTCCCCCGAAAGAGTTGGTATCACGATTTGTCTGACAAGGCGATATGATACTTGCCTTCCAAAGACCAACAGTAATAAGATGAGGCGATGTAACCGACAACTTAGTGTCCGAAATAATTGTACTCTAGTACAGGGTATGTTGTACATTGGGTTAACTGATGGGTTGAGCAGCACAAACTTTGAATTGGGATGTGATTCGATGCAATGCTCCCCTCCGTTGCCAGTCACCGGCACCCCTGTTCTTACATCACATGTAAGTGCCTGTCGTTTTCATGAGCCGCCAATGTTTTGTCCAGAATTCCTACATATTCTGATATGTCTTTAATACTATTGCTACCTCGGAGATAGAGCTCCATTACTCTGAACTGTGTTAAATCCTGATTGTATACCATGGCTGCCACAACTATACTACCTCTTTATCTATTATATAATGCATACATTTTCCGGATGAGTCCAGTTTACAACTGGCAATGAAGGCGAAATTTTTTACACTTCAGTTGTGTTACTAGATTAGTTTAGTCCTTCATAGGAACAAAGGAAGATTATGTCGAATAGAAAGATTGTAATGTACCAATTTACCGATAGCTGTAGTAAATACGCAAAAAATAGGCATTTGCATTATGTCCAATATTATCATGCAAGTCTATTGGTAAGTTTTGTCTGAATTTCTGCAATGAAGAGTTATTACAGTATTTACAATCGGAATAATTTCCTCATCTTTGCTGCTACTATCAAAACGTTTCGGTGTTTGTGCTTTCTCCAGGTGTCTGTTGATCCGAGTAACCTTCGAGGAATTTCAAACGAAAACTCTTATTTAATCTAAGGAGGTAGATTATTCTTGTTCCGCTGTCGATGTTTAAGGACATAGCGTTTCTTTGTGTAAATCATTATCGTACTTCTCAGTTAATACTCGTCCTCTTTCAACGGGACAATAGTCTAGGGGTTTAAAGCACATGCTCGTTAATTTAGTGGGATAGCAAATGATAGCAAATCCCTGGGCTGGATAGTATAGATACAGTGTAAAAAGGATTAGGAATAACTGAGCAGTATTTTGAAAAAAAAAAACAAGCATTTTACTGCTGCTTTTTGTAAAGAGAGAGAGAGAGAGAGAGAGAGAGAGACAGACAGACAGACAGACAGACAGAGAGGGAGACAAAGAGGGACAAAGAGAGAGAGACAAAGAGATAAAGAGAGAGACACACTCACACAGAGGAAGGGAGAGAGACAAAAAGAGAAAGAGGGAGAGAGAGACAAAAAGGGAGAGTGAAACAAAGAGGGAGGGAGAGAGATAAATAAAGAAAGAGAGAGAGGAAGGGAGAGAGATAAATAAAGAAAGAGAGAGAGGGAGGGAGAGAGAGAAATAAAGAATGAGAGAGAGGGAGACAAAGAGAGAGAGAGAGAGAGATAGAAACAGAGAGAGATAAAGAGAGAGATCATGTATACCTAGACAAAAAACAACAACAACAAAAAACCCAAAGAACATACACATAGGAGAGGAAGAGATTGTAGACAACATTTCAGGAAAATGTCACAAGGGTCGTCATAACGCAGGCCAGTTCCGCTATTTTTTAATGGGTTATTAAGTACGTATGTTCATAGTAAAATGATTTAATGACATGCTTTAGGAATGTAGTCAGTTCAAACGGCTCTGCGCATGTGTGTTCGAATATTTTAGTTGTCTATATTAACATGGATGCAGACGTTCAGAAGCACAGAGTATTTGCTGACATATGCATCAAACGTTTCACATCTCTCTGCATCTCTAAATGCCATTCGCTTTTTTCTGTTTGTCTTTCTCATCATCTTTTTTTAGAATCGTTCTCATGCTTTTCTCTGATAGTTTTGAAGTTCACTCATTTTCCCATCTTTATTGCCCTTCATTTCGTTATTATCACTTCTATCTATCTATCTATCTATCTATCTATCTATCTATCTATCTATCTCAGGTATGCGAGATCGCGCGTTACACCAGTATAGTATATACCGTATATATATATACACGTGCAACGCGCAATTTTGCGTATCATGCAACCCCCAAATTTTCACTTATAAAAATGATTTTACCATGTATCTTGTGTATCACGAGAGTTTCTTTTTTTTCAGAGAGCAAATTGCAATAGACTAATCTCTATTCCATATTTTAGTTAATAAGTTAAAAAAGATAAGACAAAAGTGACGTTACTAACGCTTTGGAAAGCACTGACGTTAGTCTCGCTCAGCTAAACATCTTATAAAGGTAAACAATAGAAAAGATACATATTCGCTATGTTTGTATTTTATAATACGATACTAATACGCGAATATTAGATGCATTATTATTGGATTCAGTTCAGTAAAACCTTAGTTTTGACAAAATCATGTTTATTTTAAATACATCTGTACTTTTTGATTACAGTAAATGAATATATAGTTTGGTCAACGGCGTCGCCGGGGCCAACAGGACATACGCTAATTTTATATCTCGTGTATGATGCGAACCCATTAACATTAGCTTCAAATTTAGGTCTTCAAAAGTTACATGAAATATGAGTAACTAACGACACCGAGGTTCGAGCGTGGTACTTTCGACTTGTTTTTCGCCAGGTGTATAATTAACGGTGTCACGTTATATATCATTTGAATATAGACTAAGTCTATACATATCTCTTGTTTTCAATTTATATCAGTGTTTACGAAAACGTTTAGTGTACAGCTCCCAACTCAGGACTTAGCGTCGGGAACATACTTTCCGTGTCCATGTAAATAGATGTTACTAAATTTCGTTAATTTATGTTTATCGACGAAGATGAACAGTACAACATCGTGCAAATATATCATGTAATGATAATGACGTTGCCCTGCCTTTGAGTTGGATATTGCTGTCCACGGACCCCCTATCTTGTCTTTGCGGACCCCCTGTGGTGATTATTGAGTGGAACTATCCAGTCGAATTAGTGTGAATTATTGTGCGTCCATGATTTGGGTTTTGATTTAGGATTTACCCGACTTTTAGACGAGCGCACTATTAAAAAGATATTCACTGAAATCGTTAATTATCTTTGGTTGACTTTTACTTCTTTATTCTTGTTAAGTATTTATTTGCGGTTGTAATTAAATACTGTTTTATCTTAACTTTGAAGTCTTCAGTTATACTTAATTATTAACGGCCACCGTACATTACAAAACTATGTCAGTTTTTCTTTCTTTCTTTCTTTCTTTCTTTCTTTCTTTCTTATTTTGTTCGTATGTATCTCGGTCTCTTCGTGTATACACACACACACACACACACACACACACACACTATATATATATATATATATATATATCAATCTGTTCGTATCTATCACAGTCTTTTTCTTTCTATCTATCTATCTATCTATCTATCTATCTATCTATCTATTACTGATTGTATCTATCTCAGTATTTTCCTATATATGTATCTATCTGTCCCAATCTGTTCGTATATATATTTGTGTCAGTTTAACTCTCTTTCTTACATTTATTTGCTTTAACTCTATCTATCTTACACATATCCATCCTCTTATTTATGTCAGTCATTTGAATATAGACTAAGTCTATACATATCTCTTGTTTTCAATTTATATCAGTGTTTACAAAAACGTTTAGTGTACAGCTCCCAACTCAAGACTTAGCGTCGGGAACATAATTTCCGTGTCCATGTCAATAGATGTTACTAAATTTCGTTAATTTATGTTTATCGACGAAGATGAACAGTACAACATCGTGCAAATATATCATGTGCGTATCACAATCCTCTAAAACTAGCAACGCCAGTAGTGAGTAAGAAATGATACTGCGATTGCCTCTTTATACATTAGACATAGAAGGCATGAAACAGATAATGACGTTGCCCTGCCTTTGAGTTGGAACCAGTATCTGTTTTCGTCCTTACTTCCGGGGATTCAATCCCCAAGACAGCACCTCCTTCAGTGGATTAAGGAGAGAGGATTCGTGGATACCAATGCCAATTTGACAATGATCATGGAGACGGGGGAATTTTTGTCTTTGGCCCACAAGTACACGTGTGTGTGTGTGTGTGTGTGTGTGTGTGTGTGTGTGTGTAAGTTAAACTGAACATGTGTTACATCCTGCCATCGTGGAGAGGTAGATATAACAGCGACAGTAATTTTGTTTTTAAAATGATGTTCACTCTGTAGAAGGCCCAAGAGCCACTCGACGTAGAGGGTTACAGGGTAAGTGGCACGGTTTATAGGGATATATGGGAAAGATGACGGTTAACCCAAGACTTAAATATTGCTCTGTATTTCTCTATAAAGGTAAAAGCCAGGATTTCTAACTGTTGCGGATTCCGGGATGAAAATCCGGTCTCAAATGAATGACAAACGCAGGAATGAAATATAACAAATATATGTATTGACGTAAAAATACAATTGGTAATACGGTTAGTAGATCCAGAAATGCGGTTAGTAGCAATAATAATATATATACAGTCTGTAAAATTCAGTTTCGAAGTATGACTTCCTTCTGAGTCTGCGTGCTCGCAACTGTGGCTACTACAAAGCGGTTACCTCACACTATCACTCTCTCACTCCCTCAATCTGTATCACTTCCGGGTATTCACCGGCAGCCGTACAAGTACACACTGGGCGAGTCTACTTGTATAAAAAGGGGTGGACCCCTTAGCACTAACACTGATGTTTATAACAGGAAAACTGCCTCCATTTAGCGGAAACGCAATCTTCCTCACCTCATAGTAGGCAATACATTTGTGTACTTGTAAAGTTTGTAATATCTATAAGGCACGGATAATATCGGTTCATATGTATGTATTTACGTATTATATGGCGTTTGGCCGAATGGTTAGCGTTTCGACCATGAGACTATGGTTTGAATCTCACCATGAATGACTTGTCAATGAATTGACGTCTTGATGTTATTCACCTGGTTTGAAAGTGCCTGATAAAATATAGCACGGGTTCACTTCAACCATGTGAGTGAAACTGTAGGCGGAACTGTTCAAAAGTACTCGAAGGATGTCACAAGTCATTGCGGCCTTCTTGATTACGCTAGAAACTGTAACTAATTTGCAGTATAAATGCCTGTGCAGGTGTCTGCAACGGGGATTGGTTAGCAGTTTTAGAAAACGAATGTGCTTGGAAACAAGTACCAGGCCGTTGTTATTATTATTATTAATGAATAATAGGGCGTGTCCGAGTGTTTAGAACGTTAGCATTCCGACCATGAAACCCGAGTTCGAATCTAACCATAGTCGATTTGTCAAGGAGAATGAATTGTTCATATCATCATCATCATCATTGGGAGATGATCCCTCCGTGCAGTACAATGGGAAGTGTCACAGGTTGATTGAAATTTTGTGAATTTAATTGCATAGAAGTGAGTGAATATTTCTCGGAAGTCGTAGATGGATGTGCTAGAACGAAGTCACAAGTCATTGTGACCGTTTTTTTTTTTAGCTTATTGGCCTTGTTAATGCGAAAATACGAAAAATACATGATGACTGTCCCTCGCATTACTGGCAATCAGCTACGGACTCTGCCAAGAAATCTTAATTGTGAATGTTTCCGATACAACCTCGTCCATATCTGTAAATGTAAATTGATTGACTAAAAAATAGTCTTGAAAGATTGACTTATACAAGAACACACACACATACACACATACACACACAAACACACGCTCTCTCTCTCTCTCTCTCTCTCTCTCTCTCTCTCTGCGTCTGTATATATATATATAATAAAAATTATGGCTGAAGAAATGTGTGTACACACACACACACACACACACACACACACACATATATATATATATATATACAGTACGAGGCAGAAAATGGACGCACCAATAGAAATGATGATGAGCAAAATATAAAACTTATATTTGTATTAACATTTATTAACATGCTTAAGCATTGTACTGACTTCGAGAAAGGCCAAGTCGGCGCTTTTCATGATCTTGGACTGTCGAATAGATCGATAGCTGATAAGATTAATTGAAGTGAGTGATGTGTCCACAAGTTAAACAAAAAGAGAAATCAAACTGGAACATATAATAGACATAGCGGATCTGGTCGACCGCTATAAATTACCGACAGGGAAGATTGAAACTTGGTTCGTCAATGCAAAAAAAAAAAAAAGATTGTTTCCCTACAGCACAAGATGTTTCCAAAGCGGCTAGTTTATCAATTTCTTCAAGAACAGTCAGACGTAGGCTTAAAGCAAAAGCCATTGTTTCCAAATACGTAAAAATGAAACCTTTCTTATCTGGATAAAATTCGACGAGCACGGTTGGCTTGTAAAGCTCATTTACACTGGACTAAATCTGATTGGGAAGATATTATGTAGAGTGACGATAGCTTCTTTATTCTTACACATGAAGGACGAATACGTGTTTGGTGTACGCCCTGTGAAACGAATACACCAATAACTACCAAGGGCACTGTTAAACATGATAAAAAAAAAATCAACGTTTGGGGTGCATTCTCAGCAGCAGGAGTTCGTAATTTGAACAAAATCAAAGGGAGTTATGGACCAGTATCAATATTACAACATTCTTGTTAATCAAATGGAGCTTTCTGTTAAAAAAAGTTTTGCCCAAAATCAATGCTCACATTCCAACACGATAACGATCCTAAGCATACTGCCTTAAAGAATAAAGATCCTAGGCATACTGCCTTAAAGAATAAACGTTATCTAGAGAGGAAGCGTGACGAGGGTAAATTGCAACTCTTCCAGTGGTCTAGTCAGAGTCCTGACCATAACCCAATTGAAAGCCTTTGGGCGATAATGGACAAGCGTTCCCGCAATAGGAAAATTAACATAGAAGATGAGATTTTTTAAAAGAAATTCTGTAAAAATCTAACGAAAGATGTTGAATTACAAAAAGAATTCAGTCTATATCAGGGGTTTTCAAACTTTTTGACTTGCGGACCCCTTTATATTTCAGGCTTTACCTTAGGGACCCTCTTATAAACGCTTATGAAATTTATACATAAATATTTGCTGAATATAACGCAAACGCAAACGCGTAACAGCCAATGAGAAAGCCGGAAATCGCAAAATTCAAATCCTTTGGTTCCTTCTCTGCATGAATAGAATCCATTATCTTTATCAATTTAAGATACAAATTATATTAATATATCAAATCTATGAAATAGTTTATTGAATCGATTTATTTCATGATCGGCCTATAAGTTACTTATAAGCGCTTATAAGTTACACGTCACCCATAATAAAGTTTTTGCTGTCCACGGACCCCTATCTTGTCCTTGCGGACCCCCTGTGGTCAGTTTGAAAACCCCTGGTCTATATCATGCCACAAAGAATTAAGACCGTTACTAAAGCAAAAAGTTATCCAACAAAATACTACACCATTTTTTTACTTGTATAATGTACATATGTACATCTGTATTAATATCCTGTATTAATAAACGATTTCTCTTACTCACTTGTCTTGGTAAAAATACAAAAAATCCACATTATATGGGTGTGTCCGTTTTTTGACCTCGTATTATATATATATATATATATATATATATATATATATATTATTCAAAACTTAATAAACCGTGCAAAAGCAAACTATTCAACAAGAAAGATTTTCTATACCGAATTAAAAAATATTGAACAAAAACACGCATTAATAATAACTTTCCTAATTACATCATAATTGAACAAATTAGACGAGCTATTGGGAATATAATCATAGATAAAAATAAACATAATACATCATCAAATAACTCTAAGCATATCAAACTACTATACCATAATTAAATGCATTCTAACTATAAGCAGGAGGAAAAATTCTAAAAAGACTCATAAATACTAAAATATCCCCCACTGATCCAAGTAAAAAAATAAAATTAATTATATATTATACTAAATTTAATACGACCACTCTAGTCGTCCAAAACAATTATTCCCCATCAACTAAAATCTTTATATCTAATGAATAATAGGGCGTGTCCGGGTGTTTAGAACGTTAGCATTCCGACCATGAAACCCGAAAATATATATATCAATTTAAATGTCCTTTGGGAGATTGCATCTGCGATAAAAATGTTAATACATATGTTGGTTTTACAACGACGACGTTGACGAGAAGGCTTACGTTTCACTTGAATGAGCATAATTCAATCTCAGAACATTTAAAGGAACACTCATGTCCACATTCACAGTTTAGACAGATATTAGTCGAAAATAAATCAGTACTTAATCAAAATAATAAGCAAAAACTTAAAATTCTGAAGCCCTTTAGATAAGAGAATTTCAGCCAAAAATGAATAAAATCACCTATGAGTATAGCAACAAAGTTCTTAAATGTTTGCAGCAGCAAAGTTTAATATAAAAATGCAAAACTAAAATATTAGAATTAAAAATACTTTTTCATTTTTTTTTTTAAATTACAAAAGTTACCTCCCT